CGCCAGCTGGAGAGACGGCTGAAGAAAAGAGAGCAAGAAGAACTAGACGGATAGATGAGATATGGCAGGAGAGGCAGAGGTTGGAGGCAGCGGGGTAGCTTCCGGAGCAGCAACAGGAGAGGCAAAGATCGGAGGCAGCAGGAGCACTTCCAGGTCAGCCACCCAGCGCGCCAGCCAAGGCCCCGAAGATTCCTGAGATGTGGAGAGACTTTTGGGAGCAGAGAGGAGAGGAACTTCCATCGCCGGTCAGAGCCGGGTTTGGGGTGGCCAGGAAGGCGGAAGAGAGGTTAGATCGTAAAATCAAGTTCCTGGTCAAGACCGCTTTTGACCGGCACTTGTTATTGGAAGGCGATCTGACAGGGAAGAAGATGAAGGAAGCAAGCCATGGAGTACGCTTGGAGGCTATGGAAATGGAAATTCAGGAACTCAGGGCCTTGGTGGCCAGCCAGGCAGCTATCATCGAGAGCCTGAGGCAGCAAACCCAGGGAAGGGTGGACAGGCCAGAGAGCAGCAGGCAGGGAGAGCAGAGGCAGTCGGGACATGGATTGCCAGGACAGCCATCTGCAACAGAGCCTCGCCAGAAGCTACCTATGGGGAGAGCTATCCTGGAGCCAGACGAGGCGAGAGCCCAGAGACAGGCAAAGAGAGAGGCGTTCGAGTTTAGAGCCCCTACTGAGCTCGCGACGCTGCCAGTGGCGGCGGCAGGCCCAGTCGTACCTTTGGCAGTAGAGGAGGGGCTGCCACCATTTAGCAGTGAGCCGGCTCAGAGCTCAGCAGAGGGATCCATGGGCGTGCTCCTTGAGGCGGTGCATACTATGCAGGAGGAGGTGAGTTTGTTTTCACTTGAGCAGAGGATAGAAGAGCCTCTTGAGAGAGAGATAGGGATTGAGGCGGAGAGTGCCATCGAGAGCAGGCTCCAGAGGATGGGCACGCCTGAGTATAAGCCAGAGGGGATTGAGGAGCAGCCCATGGCAGTGCCCGGAGAGACACTCGAGAAGAAACCTCAGAGGTTGGACACACCTGAGTACGTCCCGGTAAAAGGGGATTTGAGGAGCAGACTGGGCTTTTGGGCTACAGGATCTGGGTCTGGGGGACCGGTTCCTGGGACAGAGCAGCAGGAGGTCTTTAGTACCGCAGTTCCTCAAGCAGAGCAGCAGGGGGTTGTCAGTACCTTGGYAGGATCTCCTTCGTCACCACCTCCTCAGCCCAGGAAGAAGAAGTTCAAAAGGAAGATTGATCAGCTATGCTTCTACTGCAAAAGGGGCGTGCATCTGGCTCTGGATTGTCTCGAGTTCCTTGAGGATAAGGCAGTAGGGAAGGTCTCAGAGGTAGGGGGTAAGATGTATGATAGACAGGGCAGGATAGTAGAGAAGTCTGCAGATGGACCTAGGGCTCAGTTATATAGGCAAAACCAAGAGGAGTTGAGGAGGTAGGGCCCGGTTGTCTCTGTAAGTGGGCGGGTGTCTTGTGAGGCATCAGCTTAGGTTCTGTGTGATACCCTCTTAAGACATAGAAAACCTTTTTTATGATTGCTACTAGTCTAGATCTGAACTCTAGTATTCCTACTGAGCTGGGATCTTGAGGATCAGGGTAATCTAGATGAGGCATGTACATATTCAGGTGGCCTACGCCCTGGCTTTTGAGAGACAGATCTGACATGTATTTTAGGGGTTGTTGTCAATATTGGTTTAGGGTAGCTTGAGTTGAGTGAGCTATGATTTGGAGACACTTTCTGTGTGAGACATTTTATTCCCTGAGTGTATATTATGATGAGGTTTTATTTC